CCTCTCTCTCTCTCTCTCTCTCTCTCTCTCTCTCTCTCTCTCTCTCTCTCATTTTCTGTCTGATCCTAGTATGATAATTGCCTAAAGAAAATTTCATTCATACGTTTTTAGTGTAGGCTTTTTAAAACCAGAGTACAAATAGTGTTAAAAGCAATACGTCATCATCATCATTATCATCATCATCATCATCATCATCATCATCATCATCATCATCATCATCATCATCATCATCATCATCATCATCAAAGCGATAACATTATATCATGTTTTTCTGTAGATTTTCCAACTTTTGATATAGACCGGTACCTTTCATGCAATTGCATGTCTGTGTGTCCCCAGGTTGTTCTTGTTACCCCAGTACTGTGGGGTTCTCATAGAGCAGTCTTTGCTGCTGAATCGACGAAGGAATGATAGAGAACGCATTCTCAAGGTAAGTTCCTTTTCTTTCATTCCGAATCCCGCAATCCTCTGGATCGTTGGGCCACCATAGGATACACTCGTCTGGGCAGTTGACTCTGTTTCCGGTCCGTGAGTGTTATGTGATTTTATGTATATAACATTAGATGAACAGAACAAAAGGGTTAATAGCTACCAAAACACGTAGTCTCAAGTTTGCAAAGTAGGAGTTTGAGCAGGCAATAGGTGCCAATGGCTCCTCATTCTTTCTTTACATTATCCCTTGTAATTCAAAATATGCTTGGGTAGATCGCCAAAAGGTTTATGTGTATTTTCTAAAATACACAAAAATCAGAAAACCACGTTTCAGTAAGGCTTTTCTTTGAGACAATCTGAACAGCATAGACCATGAAACGTGTTTTTTACATGTTGTATGTGTTTTGTATGCATTGAGTAAAAGGGAACAGAGATAATCGTGGTTCCCAATATTACTTTAACCTACTAACCAATAATATTCACTGTTTTGTCTTGAAAGTAAGATCCTGTCCGAAGATCTCAAAATATTGGAAAAAGCACCCTAAGTAAATATTTTTATTTCTACACTTTGGTTGTGTATTGGACGTTGTCGTACTTTTTAAGAGGGATTTTGGTTGCGAAGTAGGTTTCTTGAGTTTGGTGCCTCTTGCTTCGCTTCTGAAAGATTTGTTTCTGAACCAACGTGATTTGAAACGTTTGTCGATCTCTCAAACCTTCCCTACTAGTTATCGATACAACATAGGCCAGAAGTCATCAATGTTTAAAAAGCTTATTTCGTACATGGGGCATTTCTGACTGCAGTAATGGCTCTCTTCAGGAATTGGCCTTTTCCGATGACGTGAGTATGGACAGCGGCAGTACGGACGCCACTATCAGACGCCAGAGAGAACACGTTGTGCCCAAGATCTATGTGTGCGCTACCATGTGGCACGAAACTGAACGAGAGATGAGGCAGCTGCTACAGTCCTTGTTCAGGTACAGGAGACCGTTTGTCTTCGTGTTTCTATAATAACTGTAACACAGTTGTTATCGTTGTTCAGTCAGTTACTTTTTCCTGTTGCTGCAGTTGTCATCATTTGTGTTGTAACTGTTGTTGCGGCTGTTGTTGGTGATGCTCTCGTTATGGTGTTGTTGCTTGTTTGTTTTGTTTGTTGTTGGGGTTTTTTTGTTATTGTTGTTGTTGTTGATGATGATGTTGTTACTGTTACTGTTGTTATTATGGAAGTTATCATAGTAATATGGGTTTTTCACTTTAAAGGGTTCAAGACTTTTATTTAGGTTTTGACTTTGCTGATGCTATTTGTTTCAAACCAATATGAAAAATTCGTCTTCCAAGGGAAGTAGAAAGCCATTAGAAACTTTTATTTATAGATGGAAGTTTAATTCGGAGGTTCCGTTTCTTAAATAATTTAACAACGTTGAAAGGCGTATTAAACCCACTCACCAGGGCTTTTTTTAATAGGACATATTGCTCATTTGTTATATATTTCAGACTAGACATTGACCAGAGTGCCAGAAGGAACGCGCAGGATTATTTCAATGTTCAAGACCCGGATTACTATGAGTTTGAAGGTAAGCACAATCAGAATATTAATTACAGTAGGATAACCGGCATCTGTGGTCTAGCGATAAGTCGTTTCGCTGTCGCACGCTGGAGTCCCTAGTTCGATTCCCTATCATAGAGAATCTTTTTCGAGTATCTTGGTCTCTTTTGTTGGGATGTTGTACCCTCTGAGTCTGGGCTGTCCCTGCCAGGCAGTGTCGGAAGCCTACATCCTAAATTATCTAAATTGCGTCCATGGGGGCGTAACACACCTACATTAAAAAAAACCCAGTGAACTGAGGAAAGCTAACGAATATACCCTCAGAAAACCAGCAGGAGCTACAATGACATAGTTGATCGAGTAACACAAGTGGGCACTAAGACTTGTACTCAAATGAACGCTTGTGGTACTTGTTTCCTATCTCGTCACTCTTGGTGCTAGGCCATTAATGCTACGCCTTCAAAATAGGAAATGTGTATTCAGTACGAAGTTAAAACAAAGGCCCCCTGAATCCTTGAACGACTTTTTGCGATTTACTTGGAGTTTACGAATTTAAAAAGCTATCTGACAGCTTCCATGGGGTTATAAAAATATGCCAGTTCTAGACAGACAAACATCTTAATCCCGCTTTTACGCAGTCGTTTGTAGAAGAAAAAAAAACCCAAACAAAATAAGGGCGGGGTCCGTCTGTATTGAAAAGTTTGAGTATCTTTTTAGAACGCTTTTTGTCCAAACTGTGATTTCATGGAAGTATAGTTTGGCAATAAAAATACTAAAGTAGGAAGTGAATTGAAAAGAAAAATAAACAACTGTAGTGTTTAGTAGGATTTTCGACGTAGTTTTCTCGCCAGTATCGCATAGTGCAAGCTAAGGTCTTTTAAAATCAGTTTTCTCTCATCATTGGACCCACGCTCCGTGTCCGTAGACCTTGCGGGGTTGAATAGTTCAAATGGCTTGGCAGACAGCAAAACCGGTTAGGGGGGAATCTTGCCCTTAACGCATGACTGCATGTCGAAACGTCCTTTCTTTTATCAAAATGGCTGAATGAAAGGAGAGGGGCGCGGCCACTGGGGTAGCTGTGTAGAGATATTACAGGTCGAAGTATAGAAGAATAACTCCAACATTTTCGGATAGACAGTTAAACAGCGCTACTGAATTCGAATCTATGCCTTTTACAAGCAGAAATGAAGACAGGCTAAAGTGTGTAGTATTTACAAGAATTGATAAAACGCGTTCACGTTGACAGTGACAGTGTTCAAGTTGCGAACTGAATTATATAACGTCGAACGCCTCGGAATGCTGCTAGTCGGCTTTGGTGCGTGACCGCTGTTCTGCTATGTACACCCTTAAAAATACTTAAATACGCTTTCGGTTCTAAAGGGTATCAAGCGAATTGCCAACTTGTTTGTGAACATAAAAGAGGGGAGAAGAGGTGGGGGTTTTCGTGGGGTTTGGGATTCCTGGTCTTTTGAATAGCTTCAGAAAAAAAATAGTGTGTGCTGGCGTGTTCTGAAGAGACTGAAAGCAGAGATTATTTTTCTGTCTTTTTCTTTTTTTAAATTCAGCAAGCTGAACATCCCACGCAAGTCGGAAAAAAAATCAAGCTTTTTATATAGTGTTTAGATTGGTTAAGTTACAACAAAATACAGACAAAAACACACATGCGCTGGTGCACACGCACACACACACACACACA